CCATACTTAGAGAGTCTGAGTCCGGAGTGGAGGGCTTTACAGCGGCGCGGCTACGTGAGGCCTAGGCCATCACGAGCAGAAGATAGTAGTAGTAGCTGGCTGGAAGAGTCACAGCCGGCGCCGGATCCATCCCGGGGACACTTAGCATTTAGCCAGACATCACGGCAAGAAAAGCTTGACAAAAGCTAAGGTAAAAACCCTGCAATAAGGCGAGAACACAGAGCACATGGTCAGACACTGGACAACATAACCTGGCTGGCGAGCATAGCGGCCGGAAGGCCAAAGCGAGGACAACGCATATGCAGATGGTACGAACCGTTAAAACGAGCATGGCTGACACTTGGATGAAGAAGTGAAAGACGGATTTAGCTCGCGGATTACAATGATGATGAAGAATTAACGGGTTTGCTCGCGGATTAGATGATGATGTCTGACTGGCGTCCTCCGGAAGAATGAGGCAGAACGTGCAGCAGCTGCTGCGCGGCACGGAGCGGCGCGGAGTGCGTGAGGAGTGGCGCGCTCTAGTGGCGACGAAATGAAATACGATGGAAGATGGGGGAAAACGAGAGAAGGGAATGACAATGAGAGCGAATGCCGTGCAGTGGGAGTGGGGTGTGAGAAGACGGGACGAGACAAAAAAGTAGACGATAGACAAAATAAAAAGAAAGACAAAAATAATAAAAAACGAGATAAAGACAAAAGAGTAACGACCCGTTACACCTCCCCCTCACTAGACTTCAGGCTCATCATCAGGAGACAACTTCAAGTCATGAACATGCCATGGGCCATCTTCTTTTCCTTCATTATCCACCAACATGTATCCACGCTTACCACAGCGACGCTTTATATAAAAGGGGCCTAAATACTTAGGCGCTAGCTTCTTGCTAAAGTAAGCCGCAGCATCAGATTTCTCAAAATTTCGACGATAAACAATCTGGCCCTCAGAGTACTCAACCTCGCGACGTCTCAAATTATAGGTCTTAGCGTTTTTCTCATAAGCCGCGCGGAGTCTGTCTAACACAGTAATGTACAAATCTTTCATAACAGCAAGATTCTCAATGCGTTCGTCCGGACTGGCACATTCTGGCACAGTCGGAACGGAGGGACTCCGTAGCTCACGGAGACGGCCATCAAGGCATAATTCAGTGCCATAGACCAGACGATGAGGGCTAAAACCCGTGACGTCGTGAACCGCCGAATTTAAAGCGGCTTGAAGCTCAGACAAATTACGATCCCAATGCCTATGGGGATGTTTAACTTTAACATATTCAGAGACATAAGTCGCGAGGAGGCGTTTAATTACTTGATTATAACGCTCAGTGGGGTTGGCCTGGGGGTGGTAGTAGTAATTAAATAAAATAGTAGTATGATATTTATCAACTAATGCATTCATAGCATGACACTTAAATTGGCCACCATTGTCAAAAAGAAGTAATCTAGGAACACCGTGCCTCAAAAATATTTTATGCTCAAGCAATTCTGTCACAACTTTCGCCTCAGCTTTCTTTATAGGGAAAATCTCAACATATTTCGTAAATAGATCAGTTACAACCAAGAGAAAGCGGTTCCCCGAAGGGGTGGTGGGATAGTATCCCATAAGGTCAGCAGACACGACCTCCCAGGGCGTAGAGCATTCTCTCTGTGCACCCATGAAACCAGACGGCTTCATTAAAACTGGCTTGTGCGCGAGGCACTTGGGGCAACGCAGAACGTACTGTCGGATAGCAACTTTCATTCGAGGAAAATAATACAGTTGTCTCATACGACTCCAGGTCTTAGAAATACCGAAATGTCCACCAATCGCCGAATCATGGCACTCGAAAATAGCGTGCTTACGTAGAGGTTGAGGGAGAAGTCGGACCCACGCCTTAGGGACGCAACGACCGACAGATACTAACTTATAGAGTTGGTTCTTTTCAACGCGAAATAGCGGATACCGCTTAGGGGTTTTCTGAACAGCTATCAAAAGCGCATCATACCACTCGTCTCCCGTAGGATTAGAATCGACAGTTAGCAGGTCTACTGCAACATCCTCGTACATCCGGCTCAACGCATCAGGGACTACGTTCAACGAGCCTTTTCGGTGAACAATCGTAAAATCATGCTGTTGCATCTTTAGGGCCCAGCGGCCAAGACGACCGGACGGATCCTTAATATTATCAAGCCATTTCAAGCTCGCATGGTCAGTTACGACCCAAAAATGAGATCCCTCAATATAAGGACGAAATTTCTCAATACCGAACAAAACGGCAAGACACTCTAATTCTGTAGGAGTATATTTTCGTTCCGGTTTATGCAAAGTTCGACTGGCACAGGCAATAATCCTCTCTCCATCCTGGTCTTGACTCAAAACACAGGCAATCCCGGTACTACTAGCATCACAAAGTAAAGTGAATGGTTTCGAAAAATCTGGACAAGCCAAAATAGGTGCTGACACCAAGTGCGTCTTCAACGCAAGAAAGGCCGTCTCACATTCTGGAGACCACTCATAACGAGCGTGCTTTCCAGTAAGAGCCGTAATCGGAGAAATAATAGAGGAGAAATTAGTAATGAAACGTCTGTACCAAGACGCCATTCCAACGAATCGACGAACTTGCTTTACGTTAGTAGGACGGGGGTAATTCACAATATCGGCAACCTTGCCTGGGTCTGTATGTAATCCATGTTCATTGACCACATACCCCAAATATTTCAGTTGAGGCATAACCCACTGACATTTACTCAATTTTAAAGTGAGCCCCGCGGCCTCCAAACGCGAAAGAACAGTACGAAGGAGATTTAAATGATGGTCAAAAGTAGGGGAAATTACGATAATATCGTCGAGGTAAACAAAGACATAAGGCACTAAATCTTGGCCTAAAACATTATCTATAAAACGTTGCCAAGTCGCAGGAGCATTATGCAAACCCTGGGGCATACGTTTCCATTGAAATAAGCCTCGACCACGAATAGTAAACGCTGTTTTCTCTTTACTAGAATTTTCCATAGGAATCTGGTGATAGGCGCATTTCAAATCCAAAGAGGAAATAAATTTAGCTTCGCGCAATCCATCAAGGATATCGGTAACCTTGGGGAGGGGATAGGCATCCTTTTTCGTGACTTTATTTAATTCACGATAATCTATCACCCAGCGCCAAGCTGACTTATCGTCTTTCTTCTTTATAAGGATAACGGAAGAGGACCACGGACTATTGGACGGTTCGACAAAATCTTCGGCTAATAACTGATCGAGTCCCTCGTTTAGGACTTTCATTAGTACGGGCGAGTACGAAAAGTACTTCGCCTTACGCGGAGCGGCATCACCAGTGTCTATGGTATGCGCCACTCGATCAGTACAGCCAGCAATTTCTTTTCCGAGGGTGGGGGTGAACTCTTCGACAAGCGCAGTAATTTGAGCGCGTTGCTCTTTGGACAAGGGATCGACAGCGCTCGGGGCTTCCCCTCCACATTGGACGACAAGAGAAGCCAATTCTGGCAAACCTTCACGAAAGTGGGCGACTCCGTTCGCTAAATCGGGCACAAGGCCGGAGGTTTTCCAAAAATCTACGCCTAATATAAGCGCATGGGGAAGAGAAGGCACCACTAACGTAGGAATTATATGTACTCTATCCTGATCGCCCTCACGGACACGGATAGGGAGGTCCACTATACCCACAGCGCGACGGATGCGGCCGTCCGCAACACGAATGCCGGTGATAGAGCGCGAAGACGGTTTATAACCCGCGGCTTTCAAAAGGTCATAACCGGGCTGACCAACAATAGTCCGAGAAGCACCAGAATCCAGTAGTCCATAAATATCTCTACCCGCAATCTCAACGGATAAGTAAGGGCGTTCATCAAGTCCAAAGTCCAGATCAAGAGAAGAAAGATTAACAAGTTTACCGGATTTACGTTTACTAAACTTTCGCGGCGAGGTACTCATTCGTTTTTTGGGTTACACTTCGGGCAATCCCGAGTGATAACATCGGGTTTCCCACAACGATAACAATACTTTGTTTTAGGCTCAGGACAGTCGATAGCTCTATGGTTTGCAACTTTCCTACAATTATAGCACTGCAAGGGAGTATCAACAGTTGACACCTTAGGCTTTTTCTGCCGGTAGGCCAAATCTGGATCAATAAGGGTGGTGGGTTTCGAGTCACTCGACTTACGCCGGTCGGCTATCTGTCGCGAGTACTCAACAATGCGTCCCTTCTCTAAAAGATCCTCAACCGACGCCACACTAGGGAGAGGGATACGATCAAGGTAATACAGATGCAAATTTTTCCAGATTTGTTTAAGCTTAGTAATAGGGGAAGGGGGGTAGGTAAGGCGAGAGAACATCTTTGTCATACAAGCCACGTAAATATCTATACTCTCCTCCGCCCCTTGCTTCCTATCTCTAATCTCCTCTTGCAAGAGATCCTCCCAATCCTGAGGCAAGAAAGTCTTTTTCAGGGAATCAACAAGTCGCGGCCAAGAGGTAAATATGCCTCGCTCAACTCCAGAGCGATACCAAATAAGGGCTGAGCCTGAAAACAGGTCCCCAGCACCTTTCAGGAGAGCACTCTCGGACACCTGCCGTGAAGTGGCTCTATCTTCTACCTTTTCGAGGAAACTGAAAACACTTTCAGATTTCGCACCGCTAAACTTGATGTCCCATTTATACATTTGAGCCCCCTTTGAAGAAGCTGAGGAACCAGAGAAAGAAAGTTGAGACTGTAAAGCGGCAAGCTGTCTCTGCAGGGCTTCGATGCGAGGGTCAGTTTCGAAGCGCGAGGTGTCACGGTCACGATCATCTGCCAGGAGGCGGGTCCGCTCCAATTCTCGGACACGCTGCCGAGCCTCCTCTAACTCCCTCTCTTGCTGCTTTTGTTGTTGCTCTCGCTCGCGCCAGGCCGCGAGTTCACGTTCTAACGCAAGTTCGCGTTCCCGTTTCGCCCTACGCTCCATCTCAAGAGCTAAGTCCCTCTCCTTTTCGCGTTCACGCTCAAGGTCAAGGTTCAGGGTAAGTTCACGTTCGCGGTTCGCGAGGCTTTGCAGAAGGCGACGGCTCTGTTCCATTTCAAAATCAAAAGTTTTGCGTACCTCCGAAGGACCAGATTGAAGCTTATGACGACTCACAAAGTCTAATTCATGATCACTGTCTGAATCAGAAAGTACAAGGGCAGCTCCCTTCCCCTTAGGCAAAGCCCCTAAGGAATGAGAAGTGAGCGGGGTAGACTTACTCGAAGGCTCCCCGACAAGGGACATAGCAAACGCGCCGAGTGGGCGGTCACGGTAAGCAAACTCCGACAGACCCAAATCTATGGACTGATCAGTTAAAGCAGAAGGTTCGGCTCGTCTAACACGAATGTCATGAGAGCGGTCAAGCAGAACTTGCTGCAAGTGTATAGAGGAGGTCCCTCTCATCTGTTGGCGGAATTCATCCAACCTATTCAAAACCTCAATCACCTGACCTTGGGAGAGAGGCGAAATATCCTGCATGGCAGAAAGGACCAACAACCGGCCCAAAATATGGTGGTAGAGGGTGCTAACGCGTCGAGAATTAGAGAGATCGGAAGTAGAAAGGGACTCGAGAAGGGAAAGACAAGTTGAGAGTTCAGAAACAGGATCAGGTATGTAGCGAGTATAGATGCGCCCCCCAGATGACTCCTTAAGAAGGACCTTGCGAAGGCGTGAGCGCATGTCCTCGACATTGCAACCTTCCACGAGTTTACCCCGTGAAAGCAGCTCATACTGCAGCTCAGGTTTCAAAAGAGAATTGACGTCCAGTGTCGACATGGTGCAGCTGTGTACTCACGATACCGAAGGGTCCAAATAGTGAAGCGATAAGGTGCAATAAAGATGCAAAAAGAATGGAGAAGAGCGGCCCCGGGACGGTCCGGCGCCAGAGTTCCTCTTCTGCCAACTAAATTAGGCGTATCTTCAGCTGCAAGGCGTGAAAGCCCTCCACTCCGACACAGCAAGATGAAGACATGAAAAACACAGAGAACAATAGTAAAGCTAATAGAGCAATTACACAAATAACTCAAGTAATAAACAAGCTAGAAATGAGAAATGTTAAGGCAATGCAAACAAATGTTGAGTATCCAGACACAAAAGAGAAAGGCCCCACGTTGGGCGCCAAAAATATAAGCTTAGATTGGGTTTAAAGAGCTAGCTATGCAGAGGTGCGGAGAGTGGGGTGGGCTAGCATGAAGATTTAAAAGAATTGGGCGCCAGGTAGCAAAGCTACCCCCAAAGCTAAAGCAATAATATAAGTGAAGAAATATATGTAAGGATACCACAACATTTATTAAACATTCAAACATTTAAAGAGCAGACACTCGCTTGAAAAAAACAGTAGTAGTAGTACATAGTAGTACATAGTAGTACATAGTAGTATATAGTAGTACATAGTAGTACGTGAGTACATCAGTACTGAATGTGAGAGCCCCGACCAACGCTCAACACTGTGGCGATCAACCTGACTCAAAAAGCTAAGCTAAAGCCAAAGACTAAGATATTAATAATCGCCCCCATTAGAACTGAACACAACAGATAAACATTTAAACACAAAACATTAAAGAGACATTAGAAAGTCTTACATAAACTATATACATACAACAGATAAAGTCATAGACTTGAACACGCAGAAAAACACAAAACAAATAGAGATCAAAACCTCAGAAACAAGAGGTAAACATGAGACTAAATGAGTCAGTATTCAGGATTAATTAGTATTGGTAAACTAATAGAATAATAGAACTGACTCAAAAGAAAGAGATACCATATTATCGAAATAGGGCCTTGCCCATACAATGTGGAGGAAATACCATCCTACCACTGACGATGAGACTAATAAGACGTTAAAGTCAATAGAACTGATCATCGTCAATCAAAAGAGTATTCAATTAGGGTCACAAATAGGGATACATAAGTATGATTATGAACAAAATCTGAATTGGACATGCACTGTACTCGGATCTAATAATAATAATAGGCAAGTAGCTAAGAGAGAATAGAAACGCGGATAAAGCACTCTGCACTGGCTGGCTATACCATGGACCAGACCGATGGATAGCCTCAGACGCACAGTGCAGAGAGCAATTGCGAACGCATGAGGGCCAATCCCTTGGAGGAAGGGTGGATATAATCTGGCCTTGAATTGATCCGAGGACAGTACATGTCCAAACAGAAAGCATTAGTAGATCTAAAAATAGATTCAAAGCTAACGATAGTGACTTTCGGTTTAAATCTTAGATTTCTGATATGGAAATTAAAACGAGCTAACTCAGGAGACAGTTTGGCTTTCTGAGAATTAGCCACGGGCAGAAGCTCACATACAAAGATTTTATTGAAATGACGAGTCAAATATCTCACCAGAGAGGCAAAGGACGACCATACGTCTTTAAACTCATGTACGTGCAAAAAATCATTGATGCCTAATAGCAGCACGGCAGAGCAAGGATAAACAGATGGAGAAATGGATTTGAGAACCATTTTTACATCCTGCACTTTACCTCCTCTGACACAACAGTGTTTACTGAGTGGATCAAATGAACTAGGATGTGACTCATACAATCTTGCGAAGATACTATCTCCTATGAGAAGTGCCATTGTGACACACAGTACACAGTCATGTGACTGGACAGATGGAATTCAAGATAAAATATACGGTTTAGCTCGCGGAAATCAGAAGTAAGTCACCAGTCAACAACCATACTTAGAGAGTCTGAGTCCGGACTGGAGGGCTTTACAGCGGCGCGGCTACGTGAGGCCTAGGCCATCACGGGCAGAAGATAGTAGTAGTAGTTGGCTGGAAGAGTCACAGCCGGCGCCGGATCCATCCCGGGGACACTTAGCATTTAGCCAGACATCATGGCAAGACTAGCTTGAGAAAAGCTAAGGTAAAAACCCTGCAATAAGGCGAGAACACAGAGCACATGGTCAGACACTGGACAACATAACCTGGCTGGCGAGCATAGCGGCCGGAAGGCCAAAGCGAGGACAACGCATATGCAGATGGTACGAACCGTTAAAACGAGCATGGCTGACACTTGGATGAAGAAGTGAAAGACGGATTTAGCTCGCGGATTACAATGATGATGATGAATTTAACGGGTTTGCTCGCGGAAAGATGAGGTGATGTCTGACTGGCGTCCTCCGGAAGAATGAGGCAGGCAAACGTGCAGCAGCTGCTGCGCGGCACGGAGCGGCGCGGAGTGCGTGAGGAGTGGCGCGCTCTAGTGGCGACGAAGTGAAATACGATGGAATGAAAATGGGGGGAAACCGAGAGAAGGGAATGACGATGAGTGCGAATGCAGTGCAGTGGGAGTGGGGTGTGAGAGGACGGGACGAGACAAAAAGTAGACGATAGACGAAATAAAAATAAAGACAAAAACAAATAGAAAAACGAGACAAAGACAAAAAGAGTAACGACCCGTTACATCCTACCAATTTTCTCCAAGTGTGCCGCGTGTGCAAGAAGGTCCTGAAGGACGAGCGCGCTTCCACTCCCCACCTGCAACTTGTGCATGGCCTTGTCCCTGCTGACCTAGTCCTTGAAGTCACCAAGTGTGCGTGGTCCCTGGAAGCGCCCACTGGGGTGCACCAGGACCCTCCTGACATCCCCGCCGCGCAGCTACGCGCCAAGGCAACCCCGCCGGCCGTTACCGTGTCCCAACCACCCCTGACTCCTGGTGCGCAGGCAACCAGTCCAGCAGCGGTGCCGCGTGGGTTGCCTATCACGAGTCCGCAGGCGCTCAGCCCAGCTCGCACGCCAATCCTGCGCCCGACTCTCTCCGCTGCCTCTGCGGGGCGCAGTGCTCTGCGCGCCGGCGTCCGGTGTCGCAGCCGAGTCCCTCCAGCCCTGCAGCGCACCACGCCCCTGCGTCTGCCTCTGCCTGACTCACCTCCGGAGATTATGGCTGCTGCCGCAGTTCCCGAGGTCCCAACCAAGCCGCTCACTCCACCCCAGCTGCGAGGCTCACCGCCCCCCTCTACACCCCCGGGGGCCTTAGAGAGTCCTCAGCCCATTCCAACGACGCCAGCCAGCACGCCGCCGATCCCGGAATGGTTTGGCGCGCTCTCACCATCCTCTCCTTCCACCCAGGCACCAAAGCCCACGGCCTTTCAGGCCAAGTGGCTGCGGCGCCTCGAGGATGCTCTTGACTGGGTCGCCTTCCATTTCGTGGTCGGGGACCTCTCTAAGGAGCTTGAGCCACCCCGCCGCCCTCAACAGCAGCCCCGGCGCGGGCCCCCTCCTCGGCGTCAACAAGACCCACGGCGCCTGCAGCAGCTCTACCGTTCCAGCCGCACCAAGGCCATGCGGGAAGTGCGCGAGGAGGCGTCTAGTATGTGTGACGTGCCCGCAGAGGACGTCGCTGCTCACTTTGAAGAGGTATTTTCCAACCGCCTCTCCCCTCTCAGTGCATCCCCTACCGAGGCCGTGCTGCCTCCCACCCAGGCGTGCGACCCATTGTTGGTCGGACCCTTCAGCCGCGAAGAGGTCCTTTCGCGCCTCCAACGCTGCAGTGACACCGCCCCTGGCATCCGCTACTCCACCATCAAGCGGCGTGACCGGGGCGCTCTAGTCACTCTCGCCATTTTGAATCGCTGCCTCAGGGAGGGCCGCGTCCCCGTCTCCTGGAAGGAGGCGCAGACCGTCCTGATATACAAGAAGTGTGACAAAAAGGACCTCTCTAACTGGAGACTGTGTGCCTGCTTCTACAAGCTTTTCACTGGCATCCTAGCCGCTCGCCTTGGGCGGTGGGCGGCTGCCACTGGTGCAGTTTCTGCCTGCCAAAAGGGCTTTATGCCAAGTGAGGGTTGCCTTGAGCATAATTTTATCCTGCAATAGTGTATTGAAGAGGTCAAAGTCTCCAGCCGCCACCTGGCAGTCGCGTGGCTTGACATTCGCAACGCCTTTGGCTCAGTGCCTTTTTCTGTCATCTTCTCTATTCTCAGACAGCATGGTGTTCACCCTACCCTCATCTCTATTATTGAGGACCTGTATAAAGACTGTTCCACTACACTTTGCACGTCTTCTGGTCTTTGCCTCCTGTGGTTTTTGATATTTTTAAAAGTCAATTTTTGAGCTACAATGCTCATCTTGTAGCGTGCACTGTGTCAGGGAAGACCTGAGAGTGGAGGGCTGGGCTGAGCGCGGGGTATCTCTCGGCGCTGGAGCTGGGAGATACTCCGTGCGCAAGGCAGATTCGCCCGGTCGCTCCGCTCAGAGCGCTGTCGTCGTGGTTCGGTCGCCCGCCCCCTTCCCGCGCCTCCTCCGGCGAGATCAGCTGGGAGGGACGATGGGGTGAGAGGTCCTCTTTTGCATCGGGATTGCGCCTGAGCTGTGTGGTGACAGCTAGTCTGAGCTTCACCTTTGCTCTTT